ATCTCATGTCATCTATCCAACACATATTTATATATTTATCAGTTATCAATTATTATTCATTTGTTACTAGTCTATAACATTTTTTATATGAAAGTGTATTTATTATATGAAAGTGCATGTATGCTTTGGTTAGATGGAAGTCTGTTTGCATTCACCTGGACAGAACTGTGGGATTGCCAACCGCTTCTCATCATTTTCTTGCTCTGAAGCATGCATTATTGACCAACCAACCTGGGTGAGGTCTAATTATTGGCTTTATCCACAAGGCAATCCAGCAACAGAGCTCATCAGAAACCGAAGGCGAAGGAGGGAACACAGCAGATGCCAGCAGTGAGGAGGAAGGTGATCGGGTAGAAGAAGATGGGAAAGGCAAAAGGAAGAATGAAAAAGCGGGCTCAAAACGGAAAAAATCTTACACTTCAAAGGTAATTCATGAAGTCCTCAGTTATTGTCTGGAGCGGTTTTCATCTACAGAATGTTTCCTAGCTGCCTGTAAGTCAAGGATTAGTGTTCAAGATCTGCTTTCCAGAATTGTTCTGAAACTTGCTGAAGTGTGTAACGTTTGCCTCTGACTATATACATAGTAAAAATAAAGAAAACCCAAGTTAACAAAGGTTAAGGTTGGCCACTTCACAATCCTAATTTATCTTCCAACCGTTACCTCCCTCCCTCTGTAACACACCCAATTCTTGACAGATTCCATTTAAACTTTAGGAAATGGTAAGTCCAGTTATATATAAATGTGGTGTGATGTTTGAAAAGGAACAAACAGGTCTGTAATTCTAAGAGGAGGGAAGCATTTAGGAAGGGAAAGTACAAAACAATTGACAATAAAACTCTTTTTCTATCCCAGGAAGCAAACCAATGCATATGTAATTAAACCCAAGAATATTCATCTTGATACTCGTATGAAAAAATTCAGTTTTTCATACCAGCTATATAGCTTGAAAAAGAGTTTGGTTTCTTTTTCATTTTTTTTTTCTGAATGGATGCCCCTAGAAATCTTCCAAGCAGTCAAGGAAATCTCCCGGAGACGAAGATGATAAGGATTGCAAAGAGGAAGAAAATAAGAGCAGTTCTGATGCTGGTGAAGCAGGCAACGACACACGAAACACTTCTTCAGACTCGCAGAAAACTAGTGAAGGGGTAAGGTTTAGGACTACTTCAGAAGTTGTGTGATTTTAAAGAGATACATGAAGGTGATCCAACTGTCTTGTTCAACCCAGTGCAATTTACTGTAGCCAGCCTGACCATTGGACATATAATTTAACCCAGTGTTAATTCTGGGAGTTGAAGTCCACACATCTTCAAGTGGTCAAGGTTGAGAAACACTGGGTTAACCCATTTAGAAGGGGCACCCTCAACCCATCTTAAAAACACTGCGATTGGGAAGATAGAAAGGCGGGCAGTGGCCTTCTGTGCTAAGTGGCAGAGCAGTGTGGTATCAAGCTCATGACAGGGATTATCCCAAAAGCGAGATTTTCACACAGGTTTCTTTAACTAGATTTATCGAAAGGGGTTAGATTTAAGAAACCTCAGTTTTTTGGCTTGTTTTCACTTTCAGAAGCCATCTGCCAGGCTGAAGGATTTTTTCAGCCTCTCAACCATGGTCTCTGGGTGAACTGGTAAAGAGGTCACTTTTTTTACCCATTAAGAGGAAGGTCCAAGTGTCAGGAGTAGTTTCTGAACAAGCCATTGCACATGGCTGCATCGACTGTTTCTTGAAACTCACGGGCACCTTGGACAGTTCCATTCCCCTACCAGCAGCTTCCCACCACTTCTTAAAAATTGGATTCCAGATATTTCCCTGGAATGTTTGGTGTTCTGATTAGTTGCTCACTTTAACTAATCTACTTAAACTCTGATTAGCAATTTTTACAAATTATGGCTTGTATTAACTATGGCTTGTTATATCTGAACCTGGAATCCTGGCTTAAACCCCTGAACGGGTTTGCTTTGTGCTCTCCCCGCCTCTGTTGGATACTGTCAGAAGGAAAAGGGAAACGCAACCCAGGAATTGGGTCAGACAAGCTACAGTTACTTTGGTGTCTGCAAGATGGGTTCTGGCTTGTTCCTAACTTGTTCAACAAGTTCGAGATTTCTTTTGTATGAATGCATCCAGTGTTGGTGGAATCATTTCAGTCTGAAAAGGTGACTCCTCTTTGTCTTATTTCTCCCTAGACTTAACCAACATATTGACTGCTGCATATTAAGGGAAGACACAAGAAGGTTACATGTTTGGTTGTCTAATATTCTTGGATTTGATTGAAGTCAGCACATCTCTTCATCAGCAGCATATATGTTTGTATGCACATTTAGTCACATTCCTACCCATTCTGTTCTCAGCAGCAACTTTCAACGTCATTCCCCCCCGGCCCCTCAAGGTCCTTTTCTAAATGTCATTTTATTTAATTGCACAAAAAGGCTCTTTTCAAGCAAGACCCATACCACAATGGCCATTTTTAGATACTTTTTTTTTTTTACAGAAAAAGAAGGGCAAAATCTCTAAATTTTAAAATGAATCTTAAACATTGCCTTTTAGAGAACAAGTGAGAATGAAAATTAAATTCTTAGAAATAAATGCCCTCTCATAAAAAGTCACGAGAATCTCTATTCTGCTTACAAATCATGACTTTTTAAATTACCCTTTATCCATTTGTTGTTCTGCATTTTTTTTAAAAAAGGGTTTAAAAACGGAGATGGCCAACTACCAGCCTACGAACTCTTATTTTCTTAAGCAGTTTCCTCTTCACTGACATCCTGCTGTTTTTTAGATATTACAAAAGATTTGCTCACATTTTCATTTTTAGGGAAAAGGGGAAAAAACATATTTTCAGCTTGTAAGAAAAAGATGTTCCCTCCCCCATCTCTCCTTGGATTTTGTATGCATTATGTAAATGTACATATTTTGTATGTAAAGCAATGCCAGAACTCTAAAGCTATGAAGCTCGAAGTCAAGATTCCATCACATTTATAGAACATTGAATTTACAGTGGCAAAAACATTCCTGCAGTCCACTTTTAACTTCTGTCTGGAAATTAAATTGCTCCCCACCCACCAAGAGTACAGAAGTTGGCCGTCTCTGGTTTTAAAACCTAACAAAATGTACTTGATTTATTATCATTATAAAAAAAAGTCAATAATTGTAAGAAAGTACCTTTCCTTATTAGAAATATCTAGCTAGCTATACTCTTAATACTTTTCAAGATCATGACGTAACGTAAATTTCTCTAACTTAGTTCCTATATGTGGAGTTAGTGAAAGTCTTTTGTGTTTCTTTAGATGAATACAAGGAGCTTTTTTTCAGGCACCAATACAAATTCGAGCTTAATGTGTTTTTTGGATACCTTCCATTTTTAAGCTTAATTGTGATACCGAAAGCCCAATGGGAAACAAAGCCAAAACATCCAGTTAAAATATAAGAATAACAGTTATACTGAAAAGCTTAAAAACAAAAAGGGAAAAAAAACCCTGTCATTTTTCTGTTTTTTTCTACTCTCAGAACTAGATCTAGACTAGTAAGTAAGCATTCCAGAATCCATTATTCTGTGTACATTATTGTTGCTATTGTGAGAATAGAGAATTTTATTTATTTTTTAATGCCAGCTTTTATTGTGAAGACATATGGGTTTAGTCCGGTTTTATCAACCCTTGTTATGCTTGTCCTTGGAACATCTTTCGCGTACTCAAGGTTTGTAGTTGAAAAGTTTACTGTACAAAAAAAAAAAAAGGAAAAAAAATCAAAAAACAAAAAAACTATTGTTTTTACAGAATAAATTTATTGGAATGTGTATCAGGAGTAAGGTTTGAGGTTGTAAGCAGCTGAGTTAGCGTCATATTTGGCTTCATACGTGTAATAATGTGAGGTATTCATGTAACTCGAGTATTAAAGCAACGCATTCTGTTAACACTGAGTTGGTTATAATAGAACACCAATGCAGGGGAAAACTCTGTTGTGTCTCTCCCATGGCTTTTATTTGTGGCTCTTCGGCTGAATCTGAAGCTTGAGGGACCAGGCCAACCAAAGGCTGTCTGCAAAAAAACCCCACAAACCTTTACATCACACGATCATTTATAGATCTCCTTAATCAGTGCGCCCTAGATGGCACAGAGCCCACTTTGGCTAATCTCAGAGATAAACAGGGTTGGACTTGGTTAATATTTGGATGAGAGACCTCTAGAAATAACAAGAGAAGTAAAGGGGGAAAAAAACTCCTGGAATAAAGCAATAGCAAATCCCTTCCTTATTTTTGCCACAAAAACTATAGAGACTTTACTACTAGTATACAAATGCAGCCAACATTGCCACCTTAGTCCTAGTTGGAGTCAAGCTTTTTCTTTTAAATAGGTGGGGAATAAAACAGTTCTTTCTTCAAAGAATGTGTATGCCCCAGGGAAGCCCTACATCTCTGCCATAAAGCTCATAGAAATTGCAGAAGAACTGAGGGGTGGGGATGCTAATTCCAACATGCACACTCAGCTCCAGGCATATTATCCTGCACCTGCCTCTTCAGCTGGTGGGTGATGCCCGGGCGGTGATTCTCAAGGCAAACTGAAGTGGAACTATTGAAACCAATGGCTTATTCAGCAATTCTAGAGATTGTAGCAGATAGGGACTTGATCAGGAGAAAAAGAGCACTGCGAGGCCAGGGGAGAAGCAGCCCATGAAGTATTGTTGCTATTGAGATTGGTTCTCTGAGCATACACAGTCTGCTAGGATAGAGCTAGTGTCAGAAATGATTTGCAAGGAGAACTTGCATGAGCACAGCCCCTCGCTGCTACTTGTTAAACCAGCCATCTTTTTCCCAAATTTGTCTTGAAGCCTGAAAAAAAAAGATACAGCTGCTTTAATGAACCAACCCTAAAGCAGCTGCATTTGTAAAACCACACTTAAAGCAGTAGTGCCTCAGTTGTGCTGTGCCCAGTCACTTGCACCTCTGTAGTGGCCAACTTTAAGCTGAGCTGAAGAAGACAAACCCTTAAGAACATCATTGCTGCTCCATTGATAGAGTGTACTAGGCTGAAACTCAGTAGGCTTACCTGTGACTCAGTCTTGTACAAACTGAGGTGACTGGATTCAATCAATAAACATAGGTTAAGAAATTATGAGTTAGCATTCTGTGCAGACAGAGTCTTCCTGTAGTTCTTAATCAAAACAGTATATTCACTGTTGGCATGATGTGGCAAAATGTCTGAGATGGCAACATTGGTCTTCGGTAATCATTTCCCAACCAAGATCGAAAGCTCCTACTTCCCTCATGTTTTGTCTTTAATACCTCTCCATCCCCCCCGCCCAGGATTTAAAAAGAAAAATCCAGTGGCACAGTCAAGATTGACCCCACCTCAGGGTTGGGGAAATGTGTCCAATCCACCATCCATTCTTTTTATTCACCTGTATAGTTGGTGAAATAGGTACAGAGGGAGAATGACTGGAGTGGGATTTCTCAACCTCAGCAAATTTAAGATGTGTGGACTTCAACTCCCAGAATTCACGTTGGCTGAGGAATTCTGGGAGTTGAAGTCCACGCATCTTAAAGTTGATAAGGTTGGAAAACCCTGGATTTCCCCTGGATGGGGAAAGTTAATTGACTGGGGGAATGAGGTAGAGGGGCCGCCTTCTTGAATTTTTTAAATATCACCACTACCACCCCGCAAACACTTTTGGAATGAGTCCCAAACAAAATTGGTTGTATTTGGAGAAAGAGGGATTCCCCACCCTCCTGTGATCCCATGAAACATGGAAGCAAGCTCTTGAGAAGTGCTACAGAAGTCTTTTATTTTCAGCAGTGCTATTTGGCCCGACTTGGGACCCGTTCTTGGTGACATCCCACACAGAGTTTTGAAGCAGGCAAGCCATCTTCCTAGTCCATCTTCTCTTCGAGCTTGGCTTTCATGAAAAACTCAGGGTTGCGGACACAGCGATACGCAAACAGCTGGGGGAGGACTCCATGTATCACATTGAGAATGAGAAACCACATCTTCCCTTCATCGGGGACTCTGTAGATGTACGGTGTTCTAGCATGTATGGAAGCACCAATGTGTGAGAATTGAGCCTGGAAAGCAGAAAGAATGAATTTTGAGTAGTCACTTCTGTAGGAGTCAGTGCTCACATCCCCCATAACCACTGGATGCATTTACACATTTCCTTCAACCAGAGATCCACAACCCATGGCTCCTGAAAGTCCCAGAGCCGCCCCAAGTGCCACTAAATAGCTTTTTTAAATGAGACAAAAAGGGGCAAAGTATATCTCGGAAACCATTTCATTTACTTTGTATCATTTTAATTCAGTTTAAGCATAAATTACATTTAGCTTAATCCCCACCCACTTCTTTGTTCTGGACCCATGCGATTTGGGGGGCTGGGGTGTGTGGCAACCCTTCAACATACCCTTCCCAAATTCAAATGCAGTCCCTAGTCCCAAAATAATTATGCATGCCACCTCCAAGCCACAATCCCCTTCACAGGTGTGTAGCTTCACATCTTGGGCAAACCTAGCTTGTAAAACCATGATTTAGTGAAAACAGTGAAGCTAGCCAGCAATGGCTTAATCAACTAGCTAACCCTGATTAAGCAAACCATTAAGTGTGAATCAGAGCTGATTGGGCTTAACCACCAGGCTAAGAATGAAACAACCTACAGTATGGCTAGTTCAATGTGTACCCCATTTTCCATTAACTTGCTTTTTATTTTAAGCACAGCCTCAGTCACGATTGGCACATAATGGCGTATCCTATTATTCTGCTTTGAGAACCAGCATGTTTTGGAGAGGGTCCATATCTCTGTGTCAGTTCTTGGCATATAATCAGAACATCTACTACAGCTTTCCTGCTTTGAACCTTGACACAATGGTATGTAGCATTTCCTGAGTACTCAGGACCTGATCTGCTGCTCGATAAAAGCTAAGGTGAAAAATAGAGTCATTCGCTGTTTCCTTTGCTAAGGGCAAGGCTTTAGTTTGGGGGTTGTTATTTTGTTCTCTTGTCCTTAGAGAAGGTGCTACTGACTGGGCTTTCTGGAGCACACAGTAAATTTACATCTAAGGTTATGCGCAAGAGAAGAGGTCTGCCAAGCCAAAGAATATTTTTAGCATAAACAAACATGTAAAGATAGAAGCAACTGGGACTCCTCAGGATTGTATTTTGTCCTTTGTCTCCCATCTGTTATCCTCTATTTCAAGCAATGGTTCATTGGTGTATTAGCAATTTGTGCCCAAATTCATGATCCCAGACTGTGGCCTGCAGAAGAAGGGCTGATCAGATGATGCTCCAGAGAACCTGAGCTTTTATGGGAAAGGGGGGCCAGTGCTGATCAGTGGGGTGGTCTGACTATTGGTCTGTATCACCTGATGAGAGGTGAGAGGATGATGGCAGGTTGAGGAAAAGTATTCTGAGATCTATAGGTTACAAGAAGGGTATGTCTGCTTGTTTAAGCTAAGTGGCCATGGTGTTCTGAAGGTAGCACAGGATCTTCTCAGTGGTGGCTCCACAATTGTGGAACTCCTCACCAAGAAAATCTGCCAGCTCTCCTGTTTCTCCAATTTAGGCAATTATTGAAAACTTAGTTTGGTAAGATGGTTTATTTTTTTCTTTATTTCCTTTTTTTAACTTTTTTTTAAAATATTGTTATTGTTGATATAGTTGGATTTGAATTCTGGGCTGTTTTCCTGCCATAAACCACCTTGGAATTTTTTTTTAAATTTGGTGAGATAAAGAAGTAAATAAACAGGCAAATAACTCCTTTTCTGAGGAAGAATCAGATGTGAGAATCCCCCCCCCCCGATAAATACAGAGGATCAGAGTCCTAGATGTTAAAGAATACAAGCCCAGAAAACTATCTGGGACGGCTATTTATTTAGCAGTAGCAGTTCTTAAGGATGCTTAAGAATCCTATGGATTAATTGCATGTGGGCTGAAGGTGTGGCTGATGGAAGAGTATCCTGAAATTGTTTCTGGTATGTTCTTCCAGCTGCTCCTTGGATGGGGTTTTGCGGATGGTCCTTCTACCACTGCTGAATTCAGAACCTTGATCTCCATGATGCAGAAAAGCCAGCTGGTTCCATTACTGATCCAGCTACCTGCTTTCTTTAATCTTGCTCCGTCTGCCCTTCATCCGTGCTGAATAGATACTGGGTGGGGCTCTGAACTAAGCAGGATAATATCTCCAGTGGCAACAGTGTTCTGCTTGTATAGTAACAGCGTTCAGATTTCCCCATGTGCAAACAACAGCAAAAGAAATTGAATAGGTAACTTTATCCCTTCTGAACAGTGATTGAACAGTGAGTTTGTTACACTAAGCTTATGAGGACTGTGTTCATACAGCATGCTGACTGAACCATCTTTATTTGATTAACACATGGCCTGAGTTCATGGAACACATGTAATCAGAAATGAAGCACACTGGCTGGGTTTGAACGAGTCTGTGAGCCACCAACTAGCTAACCACATCATTTTAGGTTAGTAGGTTGATCAAACCCAGCCTGTGTGGTTAACTTAGTTTTGGCTTAAGCAGAATATGTGAAGCTAGCCATTGCAGTTGGCAAGCCATACTGAATGGGTTGGTGTGGTGTGTGAACCCTGATGATGATAATATCCTACTGTATATATATATTGGCCAACTCAAGGCAGCAATCATACCTAATACTCCTGCCTCCTATTTTCCCCACAAGAGTGGGTTGGACCGAGAGAAAGAAAGACTGGTCCAAAGTCACCCAGTTGGCTTTCATGCCTAAGGGGGGCCGAGAACTCACTGTCTTCTGGTTTCTAGGCCAGTGCCTTCATCATGACACCAAACTTTGCTTGATTCAGTAAACCATGGCTTAGGACCATCTGTGTTCTAGTTCATAGCTGCTTGCCCCCTCTTGAATGTGGAAGTGGTATAGAGGAAAACCATGTCTTCAGTATGGGATCACTAAAAACGTTCTGGTATTACCTGAGCTAGTCCTCCAGCGTGA